CCAAGCTTGTAGGAGAAACTATAGTGGTATAGGAGGACCCACTCCCTCTGTAGATAAAAACGGCAAATACTAAGGTAACAAAAACTGTGATTATACACTAATGAAAACATACCTATAAATATTATATTCTGTTTTTATTAGTAGATGCTCCTGAATGTTACACACTGGACCTTTAACAAAAGAAAATTGGCACCTTGAACCCATAGAGAATTATGACTCGTCTGCTGTGCTCATTGTTTTGGTATTTCAACTGCTATTTCCATTTCAGGTCGCAACTTTACTTTTTGCTCCATATCTGTTGGATGTATAAATGTGCAACTGTATGCTAACATGTTAGCCATGATGAACATCTACAGGAATTATGGGACCTTGTGGTTTTTGTGTTTGTTTCAGTTTTACAGTTTGGCTTCACTACCATCTTTGTGGCAGCCTTTCCTCTGGCCCCTCTCCTTGCGCTGCTCAACAACATCATTGAAATTCGTTTAGACGCCTACAAGTTTGTCACACAGTGGCGACGACCTCTGCCTTCCCAAGCCAAAGACATAGGTAAATCAGGGACAAGTAATCTTGATCTTGATCTGAAATGTTCCTGTTTGATATGTTTTTAGGCATAATTTAATGTCTAATTGTATTTAGGGATCTGGTATGGCATTTTGGAGGGCATTGGCATCTTGTCTGTCATCACCAACGCCTTTGTCATCGCTGTTACCTCAGACTTCATCCCTCGCCTTGTTTACGCCTACAAGTATGGGCCTTGTGCTGGTCAGGGTCGAGCAGGGGAAGGGTGAGTGAATAAGCTGGACTTTCAATCTTGAATCTCATTTGTTCCTTTGTTTCTTTAAATTTAAAGTTTAAATACTCTCAAGTGTTGGATTAACTGATTTCTCCTGATGTCCCTTAGGTGTATGATGGGTTACGTCAACGCCAGTCTCTCAGTATTCCGAGTGTCTGACTTTGAGAAAAGATCACAGCCCAAGACTACTGGCTCCGAGCTGTTTGGAGAAGCTGTGAAGTATTGCAGGTAGGGCGTGTGTGTGTCTGCACCAGCAGCTCTCAGTGCTTAAGATGTTAAAAATATTCTATTTACACATGTTTTTTCTGTGACCAAGTCAGGACTTAGTTTTTCCCAAAGAATCTGCTGAATTAAAAAAAGGCAACACTTGTCAGCAGTGTATTCATTTTTTACAGGATTTGGCTGCAAGTATTTGTGCAACCCCAGAGTGGATTGTGTAACCTATTTTGTGTGTGTTCATTCATCACTTTATTAATGATCCCTATTAAGCAACACACAGGCTCTTACTGAGCTCCACATGAAATATAAATCAGAAAATATACAGGTCAAACCGGAGCGTAATATATAATGCAGAAGCCAGCTTTAACAAGAATAAATAAACACACAAAGGTCATTGAAAGCAAAGGTTCTCTCATTATACAGAAACAGCAGTGCAAGATTTGACGTAGTAAGAGAACCTGAAGCTAAAATCATCTTTTGTACACAAGTTATTTTAAAGCTAAACATGAAATTTAACAACTCAAGGGAATTTCAGTCAGATTTGTTGTTTTTTCTGTTGGTTGTTGAATCACTGACACGAATAGCTATCGTTAGAGCTACTTTCTGTTGACCTTTGAACTCATCTGTTTGACTCACCAGGTATCGTGACTACAGGGAGCCTCCAGACTCTGCTGATCCCTACTCGTACACTCTGCAGTTCTGGCACGTCCTGGCAGCCCGGCTAGCATTCATCATTGTGTTTGAGGTCATTGTTTTTCTAATCTTTGACAAATGACACCAGACAGAAGGCTGGGTTTGGAATGGATTCCTTCAGATTGGTTTGTCAATGCTTTTTACCTTTCCTTCCCCAGCCCTAAGTGCCCCTCTACATCTTCTTCAACATTCTGATCCAGTTTGCTTACAGCTTTGTCTACAAACCAGAGCGCTTCCGATGTCAAAATCACGGTCCCTTGCCTACAGATTCTGCATTCTTCAGCAGATATCTGTTTTTAGAGATTAAAACTAGACTAACTCCAATTGGCTTTCTTAGAAAATTGTTTTGTTGTATATTGAGTAGCAAATGACTCAATAAAGATAGAAATATGAAAGAAAAACAACAAGACAACGTCTTAATTTGTATACTATAAGGTTATTACAAAAAAGTTCAGCATCATACAAGCACCGCGGGAGCTTGGAGAGATCCAGGCCCAATGAACAAATTCTGTCTATTTTGATCGGACAGCCACGTTTATATGTCATTGTTTACCTCCAAAAGATAGAAAGAAACGATCTGGTTTAAATCAGATATGTAGGGTAAGGAGAGTAGATGGGGGTTTTTCAAGGTTAAGGTCCAAAGGCCATTAAGAGGCCCCATAAGACCAAAACATTCCATACAGGTGGAACACTCACCTGAAACCTCATGAAACTGCTAACTCCTTGATATTATGTTAACAAAATTTCATTTGAATCTTATAATAAAATGTACAATTAATGTATAGACCATCAGATACCACAGTTTCAAAATGCCTCAGATTCATCTTACACCAGAGCTTAAAACTTTTCACCGCTGGAGCCAAGACTTGCATTGTTGTCATAAATGCTGATCACTTACAGGTTTTTGATAATGTATTTGTGAACATTTGAAAAATAGTCCTTATCTTGCCTTACTTTACCTAATTTCTTAATAGATGGAAAGAAGCTCAAGTTATGTTCATATGACATTTTTAAACAAATCAGACTCTTTTAAAGCTAGTTGACAACTAAGTTTCCGTCTCACAGTGAGTGATAAACTCCCTGTGCTTGGGGTTTCCCACTTTATCACTTTGAAGATACACCTTAGAATATTTTAGAGTGTTTGGTTTGTTTTCATTGTGGAGGTATGGCTCTGGCATTTGTGATAATGTACTGCTGTACTGTGTGTTTACAGCATATGGTCTTTGCCATCAAGACCCTGATCGCGTACCTGATCCCGGACCTTCCCAAGGACCTGCGGGACAGAATGCGCAGAGAGAAATACCTGATCCAGGAGATGATGTATGAGGCAGAGTTGGAGAGACTGCAGAAGGAGAAAAACGAGAAGAAGAAGAAGGATAAGGCCCATCATAAGGAATGGCCCTGAATGCACCAACTGGTACTGCCAGAGATTCAGAAACAGTTTGTTCAAGAGATTATTCAGCTCTGTTCATGACTTGTGTGGGGATTGGTTTATAACACCAAAGGAATCTACTGTTTGCTAAACCCCCTCCCCTGAACAGGGATTGTCCAATCATAGCTTAGCAATCATAACTAAGCACGGTAGGCCTATTAAGCTTTGGATTTCTCCATGTTTGGACGGTGGTGTATTTTTTTTTTCTGCTCTTACACAGATTTAAAAGTGTAAAGGATGAATTCAACTGTGTGTTTATCTGCTCTAATCAGTTCAGATTGTTGCAGCCTAAAATACCTGATTTCATGGCAGCTTTCTTAAAAAAATTGCAATGCATGTTACGATGTTTTTAGGCATTTTCAAAAATAGTTGTTTTTTTGTATTATTCATTGAAAATCAAAGGCAGCTTGTTCCTGAGAGAATAAAATAGCTAGTAGTTTGGTGACATATGGATCAACATTTGCACAGTGGGCTGCTATGATTGGTGAAACTCGTAGAAAACTACAAAGATTGGTCAGATTTGCGGAAAAGTTGCAGGGATTGGAAAAAATTGCAAGGTCAGGAATCACAGGGATTGGCTCGATTTGCATAAGATGTTGCCATTGCAACTTCCTGAAGGGGCTGTCTAATGTTAGCTGTAATCAATAGCATGTCTAACACAAAGAAGTGTATCATTAACTAACCTCATTAGTATGTGGGGTTACATTCAAAAATAGCCCAGACTAGCATATCTACGCTGTGTTTCCCCACTGTGTGGAAGCTAGCCCTGAATGCTGTCAGAGTTTAGGATAACATTAGCAACTCTGTCCAGCCACTGTTACTGAAGATATTTATTTTCCCTTGTAATGTTAAAATAAAGTGTATGCTATGCAGCCAAACTTTTTTGGCAAACTTGTTTTAGTTTTGAAATAACAGACTGATCTCATTCATTTTTCCTCAGTATACCTAGGGCTATTAGGACTAACTTGCTTTACACTGCAGTACAAGAATAATGCAGTTTATTTGAGGCAGCATGTCTACATTGTTTGTTTACTTTTTTCCCCTGGGACATGCAGCTTTAGCCTTAGTTTGTTAGCTCAGTATGATGTACTGTATATGGCCATGAAGTGCATATTTAAGGCCACTTTTACATGATTGACAATTTAATACAAGTCAGCTGGAAACAATAAAAAGAGGGTCTGAGACATTGTGGACATATCGAAGCTTAATAAGCTAAGTAGCTATAGTAAATAAAATAGATTTTCAGTGGCTAGAAAAGAAAAGTCTTGTCTACCTCTGTCTGAAATCAAGGATCCATTCTTTCAAATATTTCTACAAATTTTGGAAAACTTGACAGGTGTAGCAACAGTAATTAAGCTAACAGTGTATTAATACTGAATTAGTATACATTTTAAGATCCGAAGCAGGTTTTTGGGATCAATTAAAGAGACATTTTGCATCCAGTTTCAGTTTTAGTCCACTAATAGTTGCATTACATTTCATCATAGATCAAATCTACTGAAATCATGCTAATAGTTGAAAACAATTTAAAATAAATTTTAAAAAGCCAAAATCAAGTTGCAACAAAAATAACGAAAACAAAATTCATAGAGTTCATTCAAAGTTTTTGTATTTCCAGACCTTAGCTGTGTCAAAATAGAAATGAAAACATTTAAAGTATAACGCTGTGTGTTTCCCAGTGTTAACAGGCCTTACCTTACAGTTTCTCTTATTCCCAGGTTATCAGCTGGTGTTTGGTTTTCACTGCACAGTGGAGGAAGGAGAGGAGCGCTGGGTTTCCTGCATGATACTGGACCCTCATACCTTCCTCCTGCCATGTCAGACCAGCACCTCCTAGTGGACAGTTGATGAACTGCAATCCTGCAGGGCCACTCAGTGGACACAGAACCCATGTGTCTGCATACATAACAGGTGTCCTCTTGAACATTTGGCTGCAGGTTTTGCTACTTTTTTTTCTTTTTTCCTCCAGATAGTTTCTACCACTTTGGACTCTCAACAGCGTATGTCTTCAGATCCTGAATGTAGATTTCAAGCAAGACTTAACTTTTACAGATTTCTTGTATTAGATGAGAGAAATAACTCTCCTGAGCTTACTGAATGACAAACCCTGTTTACATTTCTCCTTGTTGGAGGAGTTCACATTTTGCTTTATTGTAAATAAAGACATTTAAATGAATGTCAGGCCATCTGCTCTGCTAAAGTGTAGTGCAATAAAAACTAGAGAATGCAATTTCTTCAGAAATTGCGGTGGGATTGCTGGCTGCTAAAAAGCTGACACTGAGCCGTATTGCTTCATGTAGAGTTGGGCGCTAAACTACATTGCTTGAAAAGCTGGAAGCTGAACTGTATTGCTTCATGTACAGATGGGAGCTGAACAGAATCGCTTGATGGATGGCTGGGAGCTAAACTGCATTGCTAGCTTTACTTTATATGAAGGAGCAGTTAGAGTGGGAATAGTTGGAAAGGGTTGAAGGGTGCAAAATCTAGTGTAAGAAATGAGTTTGAGTAATAACTTTAGTTTCAGGACTTAAATGAGTTTAAGTGTGCAAAGGAGTTGAGGTGTTATTCAAGATGAAATAAGGGTAAAACAGCTGCAACTGCAATGAGCTACTGTGTACTAGAAGAAGTTGAGTTGTATGTGTGCGTGTGGGTCTATGTGTGCCTATGACCATGTGTCTATGTCATTGTTATCACTAACACCTGTGTTGCTGCCTTAAAGCCTTCTGTGAGATACAGTATGTGGCAGCAGTTTCACAGAAATGTCAGTCAGTTGTTTTTTACACCTTTAAACATGCATGCATGCATGTGTTTCTCCTAACTGGACATATATGTGGAAATTTCTAAAATTAGGTCCTTGTTTGAAGGACCGTGCTTTGTGTGCACGTGTATCTGTGTGCCTGTGCGTGTGTGTGTGCGTCACGTCAGTTCAGTCCACCAACTGCAGTTAGCTGGCGAGAGAACCCAGACGGTCAGACAGGAGTGTGACATGAGAGGCAGGAAGCATGGAAAAGAGTTCCAATGGCAGTTACAGTTATTTTTATTTTACAGTTAGTAAAATGTAAAAAATGTTTGTAAGTTAACGCCTGTGTTTATCTGAAATAAAGCGACTGTGACACCGCAGTCCAATCAGAGAAGCAGTCTGATTGGCTAAACTCATTCAGATGTGTGTCCCCGCCATGGTGATGGTAACTGCTGAGTGACTTCTGGCTCTGACAGTTCAGAGATTAAGCAGAGACGGACCACTCAAATGCTAGTTCAGTGGTTCCCAACCTGGGGGTCGGAGCCCCCACTAGAGGGCACCAAAGCTTCATGGGGGATCGCGAGGCCTTCTTGATTTCAATGCGTGTAAGAAACTTAAAAAATATACACAATATATATTTATACGTCAGCATTTGGTTTACTTCTTTGAATAAAAGCTAAAGTAAAGTAGATTGTTATGTAATTCAATTCAATTCAATTTTATTTGTATAGCGCCAATTCATAAAAGAAATTATCTCAGGACACTTTTCAAATTCTAGCAGGTCTAGACCGAACTCCTTATAGCATTAGTAATTTGTCTAATAGAACAATAGCCAAGCACCAGAGTGTTTTTAAAGTTTTAAGCGTATTAAAAAAATACGTACATAAGACAAAGAGGAAAATGTTGGGAACCACTGATCTAGTTTATTACTCAAACAGCACAATTCCTAACTCATGTTGCTGTAAAATATGTGTTTGTGGTGTCATGAATGTGGGAAACTGTGAGTTAAAAAATTCCACTTTTCTGCTTTGCTCCTGAACTTTCTGGTCTCAGTTAACATTGGAGTCAATGGGGCAGTGGAATGGTACTCCTGACACTTACAGCGCCAAATGTGTAAGATAGTTACATTGTTGGAAAGGGGATGAATGTGTCTACATTTTGATGAAAAAATTATGTATAATTGCGTGGGAGTAAGAGGAAGTTGAGAGTTTTTTAAGAAGAGTAACGCACTCTTGTGTAATGTCACCCAATCTTATTTTGAACATTCCGTCCATTTATTTCAAAGTAAAAATATCCAGAAAAATTGACATATTTTGGAAAGTGTGAAAGACACACTTAAGTAGTTCAAAGACTGTCCTCAATGAAGAATATTTAAGTTAAACGGTGTGAACAAAGAAGAGTAATGAAAAGAAACGGAGAAGACCATAGATGGGATTGCAGCTGTTGCCCAGCAGTCCCACCGATAAACAGAAACTGAGAAGAACATAGATGGGATTGCTCGGTCAGCAATCCCACCAATAAATGTTGCTTAGAGATCTATTCTGTCTGAGCTGTGGCAGTGTCCACAGTTGGCTTAAACTGAAAATGCTTTCCATTTGAAATTAGATGAATAACTGCAGTAATAAACATTATTTATTGTAAAGAAATTTGACTTGACTATCTGTGTCTTTTTTATGGGTTTGTAGTTTTCTCAAATGTTTCCTCAAAAAGTGATATCATTTGGTAGTAAGTATAAGGAAAGAGACCGTGTTCAGTTATTATACTTCCAATTTATTCATTCCAAACCAGTGTCCACTTCCAAAAGTGTCTACAGGCAAGGACACTGTTCTTTTCCAGGAAACTTCTTGAAATGGTTGGAGAATTATGGAGACCACTCTAATATGCTTATTAAATATTACATTTATCCATGAGGAAATTAATAAACAAAGACAAGAAACAAAATGCCTTAAATATTCCTCAGGTAGGGTTGAGTGTATATATATATAATTTATTTTATTTGAATAAAATTTAAAAAAAAACTTAAATTCTGACCAAATATATAGATCTATTATTTATTTATTTATTAAGTTTACTGCTCATTTGCACTTTATTCCCCAACAAAAAGTCCTACATGCTTTAGTTAGAAATTCTTGGGACAAAAATGCTAAATTCTTTTTTTATTTACTATTTGTTGACATAAAAAGAGGCATTTTTAACGCATGAGGACTACATATACTGGAATCAGCTTATATTCTCCAAGTGGAAGATGC